CCAATTTTTGGACTTCTAGGCCACCAAAAAAGCTAGGTCATTCTATATCAATTAAAAGCTCTTGTTTTGAAAAACCCATATTAGTTCTTAGATTCTAAAAATATCTATTTTGAAGCGAGTTACACCAATTTGAAGGTTGGTGGCCTAGAAATCCAATATTTGGATTTCTAGGCCACTAAAAAAGCTAGGCCATTCTATATCAATTAGAAGCTCTTGTTCTGAGAAACCCATATCAGTTCTTAGATTTCAAAAATATCCATTTTGAAGTTAGTTACACCAATTTGAAGGTTCGTGGCCTAGAAACCCAAAACTAGGCCATATTGGTTCAAATGGGCGTAACTCGATTCAAAATCAAGATTTTTGAAATCTGAAAACTGGTATGATTTTCTTAAAACGAGCTCTTTTGATTTATGAAATCTTTGGTGGCCTAGAAAACCGGAATTTGGGGTTCTAAGCCATGTTTCCTTATTCTTCGCCACAAAACCAACCCCGACGGTCCTCGATCGATCATATGCACCGTCTGTCCATTGGTGATTCCTGCATTCTGAAGTGTCCACGTGGAATTCAGCACTCTGCCACCGAAAATGATCCGCTGGTTGCCAGTGGTGACGTTGAGCTGTCGGCGTGCTTCATCGATGAGCTGTTGAACGGGTTGCTGGAAATAATTGAAACTTTTTTGGCTGAATTTGGTACAAAAATCATGAAAAATGGTCTGAAATTTATGAAAAACGTTGGTGGCCTAGAAATCCAAATTTTTGAGAAAGCTAGGCCATCATTAAATTTATCAATCAAGAGCGCTTGTTTTAAGAAACACATACCAGTTTTAAAATTTCAAAAATTTTTATTTTGAAGCGAGTTACAGTGATGGCCGAGTTTTGGATTTCTAGGCCACCAATCTTAAAATGGGCGTATATCGGCTTAAGGAAAAGATTTTTGAAATTTAAAAACTTCGTCGTAGAGCTTATAACTTGCAATTTCAAATAGTGCAATTTGTGACCTAGTTTTCCGAATTCCTTGGTCATTCGAAGTTGGTGGCCTAGGAACCCAAATTTTTGAAAAAGTTAGGCCACCATTAATTGTATCAATCGAAAACGCTTGTTTTGGGAAACTCATATCAGTTTTTGGATTTCAAAAATCTTCCTTTCGAAGTGACTTACGGTGGCGGCCGAGTTTTGGATTCCTAGGCCACCAACCTAAAAATGGGTGTAACTCACTTCAAAACGAAGATTTTCGGAATCTAAAAACAGTGTCGTTTTTCCTACATTTTGCTCTTTCGATTTCGACTGGTGGCCTAGTTTCCCGGAACTTTGGATTTCTAGGCCATACACTTTAAAACGGGCGTAACTCACTTCAAAGTCAAGAATTTGGAAATCTAAGATATGTGCCGTACTTCTCACAGCTTGCTCTTTCGATTTGTTTGATTTCTGGTCTTATTTCATGGATTTCTTGGTGGCTTAGAAACCCAATTTTCTTAAAAGTTAGGCCATCGTCTATTGTATCATTCGAAAGGACTTGTTTTGAGATACTCATACCAGTTTTTAGATTTCAAAAATCTTCATTTTGAGCCGAGTTACAACGGTTTGAATTGGTGGCCTAGAAATCCAAAACTAGGCCCTATTGGTTCAAATGGGCGTAACTCAGCTCACAATCGAAATTTTCGGAATCAAAAAAGTGCGTAGTAGAGCTGATAACTTGCGCTTTCGAACTAGACCCCATGGCCTATTTTTCCAAATTTCTAGGCCACAAAAAAACTAGTCCCCCATTTAACAAAAAAAAAAACAACTCACATTCCTTCCAATCGTCACACTGACTTCTCGATCATCGAGCGTTTTGACGGTGACCTGCACTTGTTGCTCATCCTCTGCTGCTCCTGGCACCACTGGTCCTGGTCCATTGGGCTCTTCAGCTGCTGCTGCGGCCCACCGAGCAACTGTTCGTTCTGTCTGGCTCCGTGGGTCTTCAGATGATCTAGCTGATAGGTAGGCTTGGAGCATATTGTCAAGTGTGCCTTCTAGATCATCGTCATCGTCATCAGAAGATCCAGATGGTCCAGGTTGGGCGGCATGATAGGTTGGTAGCAGGCTTACGACGGAGGCGGTGGTGGGTCTTCTGGAGCCTTCTGGAAGTTCTGGAGCCACATACGGCCTGAATGCTCCAGATGCTCCGAATGGGGCGGCTTCTGATGGTCCAGATGCTACAGATGCTCCTGGAGCGCTTCCTGAAGGCCCTGGAACGTCTTCTGATGCTCCAGTAGAGGCGAACGGCAGTAGAAGTGGCTGATCTTCGGAATCCGACTCTCCAGAATCCGATTCCATTCGTTGGGAAGGTTCCTCCGACATAGTTCAGACTAAACGGTGGCAGTGGGGGTTGTGGTCAGATGATGTTACACAAGTTAGAAGACGTGGGAAGATTCTGAAGACGTTAGAGATGGAAAAGGTTCCAGAAAGAGGGGAAAAAAGAAAGGAAAATTCGAGAAAAGGATATAAAAAGACCAAAAATAGGCTCCGCCCATTATTTTAGCCAATTTTCTAGAGTTCTAAGAATCTAAAAATCTAAGAATTTCACAGATTTTCGGGATTTTTGTAATTTCAACTATTTATAACATAACATAACACACTTATTTGACATTTTTATAACATATTTATGTGATTGTACATACTTTTAGTATCGATTAGGGTTTTCAGGATATCGAGAGTTTTCAGAGTTTTTAGAAATTTCAGAATATCAAAATTTTAGAGGTCTTCAGAATTTTTAGAAGATTTTTGAAAGCCTACTTCTTCAAAATTTAAGAAAATCATACTTGTAATCCGGACCTTTGCCGGGCCTTCGCGGGCCCTGGCATAACTTCTTTCAGAATCAATGTTTTCGAACCAACTCAATCAGATATGATAGAGCTCCACGAGTACTACAAAACGGTATTATTTGGAATACTGTATCTTGTCTATGAACCGAGTTACAGAGCAGCGCTTTTCTCGCAGGGCCTGCCGGGCCCTGGGGGATCCTCTAGA